ATTATGTGTATATGTGTTTTATTAATTATAAATAATTTTATTTTTAATATATATATATATATATATATATATATTTGTATATATATGTGAATTTATATGCATATATTAATTTAAATACATGTAGATGAATATTTAGATATTTAATAATATTTTTGAATGATGAGTCAGCAGTTTTTTTGCTGAGTCAGCAATTTTTTTTGCTGAGTCAGTAGTTTTTTGCTGAGTCAGCAGTTGCGTTTGTTTGATTTGGAAAAAATTTAAAAGTCTTGGTATTTATATGAGAGTTTTGAAAAGTTCAGGTATTTATATGACAATTTTATAGTTCGTGTATTTATTTAGGATTTTTGTAAAAGTTTGGTTATTTTTATGTGATTACCCATTTTTTTTCCACTTATCCGTCTGAAGTTGGGATATGTAAAACGGAATCGATTTGAATAATATAATTTAAAATTGTATCCAAATCAAATGAGATTGGATGTACGTAAATTTTCTAAAATAGCAAAACATTAATTCGAAAAGTCAAATCGAATATGAAATTAAAAACAAAAATTATTTCAAAATAACTATTAAATAATAAAAATAAAACCAATTATGTATTAAAATTTGATAGATATAATTTTTTAAATTAAAAAATAACCAAAATAAGAAATAACAAGTGAACTAAGGTATAATTTTTCGTGGATTTAATGTTAAATTAAGAGAAGACTTGTAATTATAAATCTCGAGCTTAGCTCTCTGGCCCTGTTTTTATGTCTTTTCAATCACTATTGTAATACGCTCATTATCATTAAACATTTCTATATGTTTCCTCTCAATTGGTAAAATAAAACATATATGTGCATAATGAATATATTCCTCCGTATAATTGTGTACCAATTTCTTTTTTCTTTTTTTTTTTGGAAAGTAAAAGGGCTTAATGATCAGTTTCTTTCAAACAATTTTAAAAAGGTTTAATAAATAAGATGGTTTACACGTCAGTTAAAACTAAAATTACAACCTATGTACCATTAGATTACTTGAAACATAAATGCGAGGAGAGAGAGAGATTCAGTCTTTTACAGACTTGGCTGAATAATGAAGAAGAAAGAATGGCTTCAGACTTGTGTCCTAACACTACTCTATATCTTCAGTTTTCCGCGTCCTTCTTGTGTGGAAAAAGATGTTCAACTGATCGGCAAATAGCAGATTCTTCATGTGCTCCAACTGTTTCCGGCTTTTCTCCATTTTTAGATCCAAATTCTCGAAATGTATTATCCTATCTCGGATATTCTTCATCTGTAAAACCCGATGATGAAGAATTTAGATTCGACGCTAACAAATACGAAGAAACTGAAAATTTGGAGACTTGTACACCAACCTTTACTTCAACGATCTCCTTGATGGCTCTCTCCAACTCGTCTTCCTCCTTCTCAAGCAGAGATTTCGCGTTGGACAAAGCCCTTCCCGAGTCGTGTCCAGTAGTTTCACCATTCAATGCACCATTGACCTCTGTATCAGAAAATAAACGCACTGTCTGTTTGGATCGGATTGAGACTGACAGAGTAATGCAATCGCTAGCCCAGAAATAGCAGCTGCTGTTACCTTGTGGTCTCGAGTCTTCAGCAGTTCCTTTATCAGCTTCGTAGTCTGAGTCAGATAGAGCAGTGACCGCTGCTTGAGCTGCTGCTTCTGCAACATCTGAGCCAGCCAAAGCTGAAAGGAAAGCAGCCTAGAAGCCATACATAGCATGGAGAGACATTCAGCGAAAGAGGGTCACAAGTGTAACAATTAAGATGCATAAAAAAATGACATGGAACAAGATTATTCAGAAGTGTTTCACACAGATATAATTTCAAGGATTAGGACAAAGAAGAGGGTTCATGGTTTTCTTAGCTATTAAAGCACATTAACACAAGTTTCTTAGAACTGAGTAGCATAGCAACATAACTCTTCAATCAGCTAACACGAAATGGCCTCCCCGCATCCAAGACAACAAGTTACAGAAACACAATCTCAATAGTTCTTTTTCCTCATAAAAGATGTTAGTTGTTATCAATAAGCCCCAATCCTATTTCTACATACATGCTGCACACCCTAAAAACTACTTCTGCTTTGCACCAATTGAAGGAAAAATTCACACCTGAGCCATTATCGGGTTGCTAGCATCTGCCAGAGGTGTCAAACGCAACCGCTTATTGGGAGATGAGACATCTTGACCTCTACCTTCAGATTCAGCACTGGCAGAACCCTTGACCTGATCAAGGGTCTCATCAGCTTCCCCAGAGTCAGATCGATTTACATATTCTTCCCCAAAAGGAAGCTTGAGGAACTGAGAGACACAATCCTTCTCAGTTCTGCCCGTAACATGTTGAGCAACCTTCCTCCATTCATCGCCATAGTGCATGATAGCTTCGAGAAGCTGCAAAATTTCCTTCTCAGACCACTCTGCTTTTGCATCGTCGCTAATCTCAACCCGTTTAAACTCCGAGGAGTTAACACCAACCCGATAGTTACCACGGACATAGCATCTCGCACAAAGCGTCAAATCATACTGTAAAACCGAAAGTACACAGTTAATAAGTATATGCTTCAGGATATCATCATTCTTAGAGTAAATTTAAGTCAATTTGAAGCTCTGTATAAAACCCAAGCATAGAAACTCACTACAGGCAACTAAGAAAATTTATGGCAAAACCAGGGCCAGAGAGAACTTCATATGATTTTCCTTGTGTCAGCAAGAACATCACAAAGCTAATATATTACCCTAAAACAGGGCTTCAAAAGGAAACAGGAACCAGACCTTATCGCAGGAGAAACAAGCAATGCTGCAAACTCCTTTGCAGCCATTGCAGATTCTCTTAGCCGATTCTTTGATCGGTGCAGGTGAATCAATAGCAGCATCGCCGGCGGACTTTCCGATTTCCTTTTCGTCCCATTTGAGCGGCTTAGCAGAAACGGAGCTAGTATAGTTCACAAGCCCCCACAACTCGAGAAAATCAAATATGCGTCGAATAGAGCCAACGTCGCCGACGAGAGTTCTCCGGACATCGGTGAAGCTAATCCTGCGAGGACGATTCTCTCTGTACTGCTTGACGATGGAGTTCCTCAAGTACATGTAAACCCTAGAGTTTTTCGAGGGAGACCTCGAATCGAAGAACTCCGGTAACGACCTGACCTCGCATTCGTGAACGCCGTTCCACGAAAACCAACCTAATCGATCGAATTAACAGCATAAATCAACAAAACCCATCAGAAATCGTGACTGGGGTATCACACAACAATCTAGGATTCCATAACATTGGCGAAACTTACGTGAATAACTGGGGACGTAGATTAAATCGGTGTCGGAAGAAGGCGAAGGCGAAGGCGGCACAACCATCGATTTTCCAGGCGGTGTTTCAAGGCCAGCGGGTCCGGTTCCGGATATTAATCCGGTCTCGGGTTTGGGTCCGGCAGAGTCGGGTAATGTCGTAGCCATGAACCCTGGATTCTGAGGACAGAGAGGGTAAAAAAATTAAAAGGGGATAGAGGAATCGGGCTCTCTTGAAGGTCCAAAAGTGATACAGGTCGGGTCCAATTTCTGGGTAAGTTGGACCCGGAAGCTCGCACGATATATCGAAAATACCCTTTCCCCGTCCTGATCTGGGGCAGGCACGGTAGGGTGTTAATTTTGGCATCAAAACCGATTCGAGGTTTGGTACGAAAAATATCGAATTTTAGATTTAAGTTTATCCGTTCAAAAAAAATCAGATTCGGTTTAAATCGGGATGTATCATTTGCTATGTGTTTTCGTGAGAATTTTTAGTTGATATTACAGTTTCAATTAATATCTATTTATCTTTATTTTTTATATTTTTTTTGTAACTAGAACGATCGTACATTCGACGTAACTATATCATTCAACCAATTCCGATTGGAATTGGATTGATCTTTTTGTTGTTGGTAAACCATCATAATATAGGTTTCAATAAGTTTGATTGGAAACTTAATTAAATGGGAACGAAAATCGAACGTTCGTATAGAAAAATATCAAAAACATGAAAACAAAAAACGAGAGTAAGAGAATTCTCACAATGCTCGAAAAATGGATATTCGTAAAACTCCTCACTCTTTTTTTTTTAAAATCAAAAACTCAATTCTTAGGATTATATGTGTTAAAAAAACTAACGGTTATTCATATTTATAAACACAAAAAAGGATTAGATAACCCTAATGGACAATGAGCCTCCTTAAACCTCCATCCATACATATCCACCTACATTATTAATATATATACCCATTGTTAATATATATATATACATACATTATTAACCTATATATACATTATTAATATATATAAATTAATCCGTATGCATTAACAATATTATATATATAATAAAATATAAGTAATGAGAAAAAATAGTATAAAAGTAAATGAAAGAATATGTGTGTGTGTGTGTGTATATATATATATATAACTAATGAAATCATATAATAATTGACTATGTATTAACATTAATATTATTAGTACTATGTATATTTCATTGTTTATTATTATTATTATAATTATTATTATTATTATTATTATTATTATAATTTTCTAAAATCCTTTTATTTAAAGTTAGTTTTCGATTTAAATCTAATTTTCACAGTTTTTTAATCCGATTAAAAAATTTAGTTACATTATTATTTAATTCAAAAACAAGGTATGCTTGAAATAAAATTTTAAGATGTTTTTGCAATGTTGTCCTTTGTCTAGTTATTATTTTGTGAAAATTGAAAATATTTTTTTTCTTTTCTGGAAACAAAAAAAGAAAAAAACAAACAGAGAGCTATCGTTGCCCGGAACAAGCATAGCATCAACCTTCCATCCAATAAAGAACAGACACGTAATTGATCGCAACTCGTAGTTTGCGTCCACGTGGAACAATCCTAGCCGCACGATCATCACTGGTCTGCAAACCAACCGTCTTTGCGACCGGTTTAATCATCGCGTTTGGGGGCGCAATCGAAAATATACACATTGGTTTTAACTCCAAAACTATCAGAGAACCTCCGAGTAAGGAGATCAAATTTTGTTGTCAGAAATCCTCGATCAAGCGATTTCGCTGATAATTCGGCATCGATGACTAGCAGCTGGAGAAGAACATTGGGGAATGCGAGGTCTTTCGTTGGAAATTCCATGGGAGGTCTCAGAGGAGGACAGAGCATTGCCTCTTGGGTCGTCGCCGGAACCCTAGCTTATTTTCTATGGGTTAAACCATCCCAGGATCTCAAAAAGGAGCAAGAGGTACGATTTCGATCAAATTCCACCCCTAAATTCTCAATCGTCTGGGTTATCTTGAATTCAATTCGACTTCGCGATCATCTCCGTTTATAGGCTAAGGCAGCTCTTGCGGCGGCTGATCCGAATGGGTACATAGAGAAGAGGAAGCCGATCCCTGATCCTCAGGTTATCATCGAAACAATCGTTTCAGGTTACGCGGTTTCATTGATGAGATGCCAAAGCTGAGTTTCGATATCCCTTGCTGCGTGAATTGCAGATTACAGGTTTGGTGTATGGGAACAAGAACAGAAGCGACAAACCTCAGGATTGAATTCCGAGAATTACCAGTTCGTGTAAGTTCCATACGATTTCTTTTTCTCTTGTAGGACTTGGCTCATGTTGGGGGGAACTTGTTCGTGATCTTGATATGAAGGGGTTTTCTGTGTGTTTGTGAGCTCGAGAAAATCGATACGTGGAGCATTGTCAGATAATCAATAAACAATCTTTCTTCTGGTGAGATTACTTGTCCGTAGTGGATAGAATCTGCTGCTGAAATGACTTGGAAAGATTTCGTTCTACCCGACTGTTATGCCAATAGCCAATAGGATGAACAATGATCTCATGTCATATTAGGAGAGGATGCATAAAACTTCAATTTGTGTGCGAAAATAAACCTTGCCGATTTCCTCATCGATTTTCCAGGATCTTGGAAAGATTCGACTGGCCATCTGTCATCGTAAACATATATTTTGTGGTATAATCTTGGGTATCTATGTCGCCCTTTTGTTATGTGAGGTGGTGAGATCACTGAGATGTGTTGGCTTGTAAGGATGAACTGTTAATCACATACCATGTTAGGAAAGATTTGTCTGAAACTGCAGTTTGTCTGCAAGCTTAAACATGGTCTCTCCGGGCTTGAATCTGACAGACCATGTGAACGTACGATTGAACTTGTGGTCATTGTAAGCGTCGTTCGCTGAAATTTTCTTGTCCGGGTCTCGTTCTTGCAAGCTTATTATCATCACCTGTATTGTGAAGCATACATGCTTCTCGTCTGATATCACGTATCCTTGCCACAGCTCTCTGTGTTGTTTGGATGGGTGGCCTTTTTCCTTTGCCACGTTCTTTGAAGAAACTGTTCTCGATCACCTTAAAGGCATAAGCTTTGCTTGTTATTTGCCCAAAAAATTCGAAGTTTCCACGATTGAGGGATCGTACGCTCGTAACTCTAAACTAAAAGTGTTTAGTCTAGGTTCTAGTTTTTATACGAAATTCCAACATCAACCTTCCTCATATTTTCACCGAGTTAGGATTTAGTAAGCACCAAGACTTAACTAGTTTTTGTGTTCGATCCTTATACAGCAATCGATCACATATAGTCATGGCAGCTTCATCAATGGGGTCAAGGGTGGGCTCAATTGAAGGAGAAGAGTGGGGGAGGAGGGCGACAGGTGGTTGCCGCCCTCGACCGGCCTACGGCGAGCGTGTACATTCTCAACCCCTTTGTAATAATCCATGTGAACCCCTCAATACTGTATTTTGCCACATAAACATCAAACCATGATTAATTTCGGTTTCCTCTATCAACAAAATAACGCGAAGATCACGAAATATGTCAAGTCACAACACAACAATATTACAAGAAAAAAATATCAGACGTTTTTCCCTAACCCAACCCATTTTGACACGTTCGAGTAATAAATTACGGCCAAGTGGCATTACAATGTAATTGACAAAATATAATACAATTTCATAATAGCATTTTAAAAAAATATGAGAATTCGGATAATATTATCAAATAAAAATGAAAAGCAATATATAAAAATATGAAGAAGAATACTAATTGGATCCCCTTTTTAAACCAAATAATAATAGCATTCTATCTTTTTTGTCGATTTTTACCATATTAGTGTAGATAAGAGATCGAATCATCATGATTTATTTGTTTTTATCTCATCCGGATTTTTCCAAAAGAGTCTCGATATATAACATTTAAACTCTTTCCTATATTATAAATTGTAAGATAGTTTTTTTTTTGGCACGTGTTTTGGTAATTTTCCCTAAAAAGGGATTATCAATTTCGGATTCCTCTTTTAACAAAATAATAACAGTATGATCTCTTTCTTTTTTTTGTCGAATTTTCACCATATTAGTCTAGATAAGATATCGAACCATCATGATTCATTTGTTTTTATCTTCATCCAGATTTTTCCAAAATAGTCTGGATACATATATATATATATATATTATAAATAGTTTACCTAAGAGAACGATTTCGCCGTTGTATATATATGCCCGCAGTAGGTGGAGTTCTCTCACAAACATTGTCTTGAATCTCTTTATCACAACAATTTCAATTCAAATGGAAAAAATCACAGTCAAGCTTGTTTTCATGGTTCTCGTCGTTTTTAATGGTAAGGTTTATTATCTACATCAATGGGGACACTTTGTATCTACTTGTAACAAAAAAAAAAAAAAAATTGATTTAGAAATATTATTTTATCAAGCCTTTTATTCTGCAGCAGACTCAATTGTGTACAAGTGAAATGAAATTACAAGATAGTATAATAACAATTTTGTATATTAATAATGTTGTGTGTTCCCATTTCGTTATTGTAGTTGTAACATCTCCGACCGCAGTTCCAATGGTTGAGGCGAGACAGTTGGAGAATCAAGAAGCTTCTGCGCATGAAGCGAAACCGCAAGAGTTTCCATGCGCCCCCGGTTGCATTTGGTCATGCTCCACTGTTATTATCGCTACCGGATGTCGCTGCATTTGTTAGCTTTTTGTTATAGCTGCACAACAATGAAATTTCATCTTAATATGTTATTATATATAAGATTTCTATATCATTAGTTAGTCGTTGAATAATTATTTTGTTATGAGTTTCCTACTTTAATTTGGATAATATTTTCATGTACGATAAAAAAAAATGGGACAAACCGGAATAAAATCGTGAAAAATGTATCAAACAGGAACAAAAGTATGATACCGGAACAAAAGAGAAAGAAATTTGGCCAGAAAAATGTGACAAAATGATGACTGAACTAATTACAGAAGAAATGTTCAAACCGGAACACAAATTACTGATGTTCTACGATAAAAGTAATTATACCGGTTCACGGCTTGAGCAATCGTCAGAGCCTGAGATTTATTCCCGTTCGTAGGGGTTGCTCCAGGTAAAATTTAGGCGAAGGAGGACCAGAGGAAAAACGGAGGCGGGATAGCATCAGGGGTAGAGGTCGGATTCCGGAGGTGGAGATTTGGCCTGCAGAATTTTACTTCAATTGTATATATGTAACGACCTACGACCACTACGAAATATCGAAACTACCCCCACACAGCAGCACATGACCTTCCAACGTGTTTTGTCCTCACTCGCATGCATACCGAGACACTTCCCAATAGGTCACTCATCTTGAGATTATTTCAAAATCCACGCTTAACTTTGTAGTTATCTCCGTATAGTCAACTGAAAAGGTAGATGCACCTTATTGTTATGAGTAGCCCAACTAATCTTTTTATATTATCTTAGACCATATAGTTCAATTCTTATACAGCCATCGGATCTCTTTCATTTGGATGCGTTCGATTCATTCCTGTATCTTTTTTGTCTTAGTGGTACTCGGGAAGCCGCTTCTTGAACGTGTCATCACGCCGGCGAACAATCCCAACCATCATCGTAGCTCGGGATATCACAGTATATATATAACAAAAGCAAAAGAAAATATTTTCCTCCACCCCACTTCAAAACCACAGCATAGCAACCCCTAACTAGACATGATTTTGGCATAGTCTTTTAGAGCTTTTGGAGATGAGAAATAAACTCTTTGCATCCAGAGAAAAACCCTAATTACGCACAAAGAAATCGCTCTCAAATTCTAACAAATCATATTCAAAGTAGATTGGATTGAAATCCACGTGTGGATACCTATAAAGCGAGTTATATCTTCAGTTCCCATGTGATCAATAAACAGGTTCGAAATCGTGTCAACTTTGAAACTATGAGATTCGCATTGTTTAGGGTTTTTATTACATTGTCTATTACTGTAACCCTAATATCAAATAGTGAATTGCACGTAAAGATACCCTTAAAAACCCAACACGCTCGAATTCCATGCTTGACAATGACGATGAGCATGAAGATAAGCCTTTTTTTTTCTAGCTCATGGTATAACTTGGGTAATCACTAGTCAATTTTGAAAGAGAAAATATAATATCGCAAGTAAATTTGATATAGTTTGAATCTTTTTCGCTAATTTACTAATACTTGAAGAAACCAAAAACCAAAAACTATCACCATTCATAACCTTCATTCTCCCTTTTTTTATAATTCTACCATGGGATCCACTTGTTCTGAGATCATTAAGCAAACCAAAGCGGGTCTCAACCAAATATACGCGAGTGCTTTTGATCTATTCATCATCCTGTTGAACAATAGGATCACCAAAGACCGACACAATGACAATCGAAAACTATATTGAACTAGAGTCACGACCAATATGCATCATCAACTTCACGTGCCACCCCACCCCGGCCCCTTGGACGGATTACATTCGACTCACAGAAAACTACTCAAGACAAACAATTGGACCACCAAAATGTAAAACTTCGGATAGAAAACACGTTTATCCACAACTGGATTTGGATTTCGACTTCTTCCTCGGCTCCTTTCGATAGGTTTCTTCCTAAAGAAGCGAAAATCAGTAACCCAAAAACCGGAATTAACTACGGCAAACTCGAAAACACTTCAAGACAAGGCTAAAATGGTTAGGCCTGAGAATCGACAAGGGCAACATATGTTCTAATCATACAAGCAACCCACAACCCGAATTCGAAAGTGGTCACTGGATGAGAAGCGAGAACAATATCAAGCTTGACACATTCCTAGTCCAGACATTGACTTGTAAATACTGAACAATCATTTTCCACAGGAACTAGCAGTAAACAAAGACAAAAACTACAAGAAAACGACCACATTATCATCTAGGAATTGGTTCCACCCATCAAGTTCCAAAAAAGAAAGAACACCAAATGAAGATCCATAGTCGAAATAACCATAAATTCAAGACACCGATCTTAGGATTGAGGTTACCGATATATAAAAATCTGAACATGAGCTCAAAACAGTAACACCTTAAGCTCCTCCCTCTTGCTTCTCCTCCCGTTCTCGGTTCCATTGCTCAATTCTTGCTCTCCTTTCCTCGCTTCCATCCCTCGAAGGGCTCCTGCTTCCATGTCTCCTCCTCCCACCGTCCCTCTCGTGCCTATCTGATGACCTGTCGCTGCTCCGTTTCCCGTTTCCGTGGCGGTAGAACTCTCGGTCCCCATAATCCCTTTGGCGATCACGCCTGTCATGATCTCTCTTGTGTCGGGGACTTATACTCCTGCTTCTGCTCCTGCTTCCCCTCCGGTACGACCTTCGGTACCTCCCGAAGAGTTTCCTCCTCAGCCCCCGCGAAACAAGCTTCACGTGCATGAAATTACAGTACCCACCACGGTTACAGTTGTTCTCCTCGTACTGCCGACAAGTAGCTTCACGGAAATCAGTCACCGGAGAAAAATCCGCGATTATGGGTCGACCGGAGTAGAATCTCCCTTGCAGAGCCTGCAACGCTGCACCAGCCTGATCCTCCTCCTTGAACTGGACATAAACGTTACCAATCATGTGGTCAGCGAGGTTGTCGCACACATTGAGGCTCTCGATCTCGCCGAACTTGTTGAGTTCCTCGAATATGTCCTCGTAGAAATCCTCGAAGTGTTCCTGGATCTTACGGGGATCTAGAGGCTGTCCCTGAGGGTCGACGCCTGGGGTGATCATGTCCGGTCGCAGGTACATGTTAGAGAGGAGGAGCGTCGGAGAAATTGTGGGTCGGTTGTGGAGACGCGAGCACCTGTCGCCATGACGACAAGCTCCAATCTTGAAGTAGAACGGGCAGTTCACTCTGTCCTTCTCGGTACCGAAGATCGACGCCAAGTGCTCCGCCATGGCTGAATCGGAATCGGAATAATCGCCGTCGCCGAATCGATCTCAGGCTTTCGGCCTCTCAGCCCTAGGGTTTTCAGAAATCGATGTGTGAGGAAAGAGAAAGGCGAAGCAGAAACCCTAAATCATGGACGAGAGAGAAGGAAATGGGGATTTCTATAAGATTAGGAACTGGAGAAACCCTAATTTCGAGAATCTGGGAAAGAGAAGGTAAGCGAGAAATCGAGCTTCTTTATTATTTCGAATTACGTCTGGGCTCTTCTAATGAAGCGAAATGGAGGAACTTATGAGAAACGGCGTGCCTATAGATGTAAAATGGGCCGACCGGGTCGGACCCGACCCGGATCCGATTGGTCCGTTAAAATTGCGGATCTATTTTGGAGGGGTCTGAAACCGAGTCGGATGCTTCAAATCGGTTTTTGAGATTTTTTTTAATATAAAAAATATATTTTTTAATTACAATACATGTTTTGATACGTCGGATGAAATAAATTTCATAAGAAGAAATATAAGATCGGACGGTCCAGATGCAAATGAAAAGGAATCTGCAGCCGTTCGTTGTTCCCTTCCCAGAACGTCTGTGATAAATTCCGCCTTTTCAATATTAGGGCACGTTTCAATTCCCTTTTTTTCCCCCAAGTTTTGTTTTCTTTAAGAATTTCAATATTTAACTTAATTCAAAATATCGTCAGAAAAGGAACATAAATTCTGTAATTTTTACATAAAAGATCATCAATTTTCTGAGATCCAATTTAGTCCATCACATCATGCATGTTTATCTAATTCCACACAAAAAAAAAACCTTTTTCATTACATAAATCTATATAAATATATTAATGGATCAAATATGAAATTAACAGAATCTATAGAAATATACTGTATTTAATTAGAAGTAAGGATATAACTACGAGATTGAAAAGGTATGAATCAATGCAATCTAGAAATAAAATGACTAAATAGAAATTGGGCGTTGTAGGAAAAAATAAAAATGGAGGGTCTTTATGTAAATATTTGATTTTTTGGGAATTTTCTGAAACGGCACATTAAAAAAATATCATATAACAGTACCCATTCGTTTTCGGCGTCTTATAAGATCCTCTACTTGCTTCTTCTCCTCCTGTTCTCTGTAACCCACAGGGTACGACGAGTTGAAGACACCCATCTTCTTCTCCGATAGGTTCTCTCTCTCTCTCTCTTAACACCCTCTCTATCTGGGTTTTTCCTGTCCTGATTCTCAGGAGCTCCAACGTCTCCGTCAATGGCGAATGGCGAATGGCGAATGCCTCTGTTTCTGTTTTCTGTGTGTTTTTTTTTGTTGCTCATTCCGGCGTCCCATTCCGAGTTTTTTTTTCCATTTCAGTTGCATAAAGTCGCAAACCGCTGTGATTCTATTGCCGTTCGGGAGACTATCAAGACACAACGATGGTAGTCCTCCGCTCCTGCTTTCGCTCTCATTCACTGCAATGTCTCTTGTTTTTTTTGTGGGTTGGGGTTATTGGTTTGGAATTATGGGTTGTTTCTGAAATTCTCTGAGTCGGGGGTTTCCAGGTCAGTCCGATGGTGAGAATGGAGAACGATGACGTCGTGGGTCCGCCATGGCTGGTGCCGATGCTCCAAGCTAAGTACTTCGTCCCTTGCTCTGTTCATGCCGATTCGAGCAAGAGCGAATGCAATTTGTTCTGCTTGGATTGTACGGGATACGCCTTTTGCTCCTACTGTTCAATTCACCACAAAGATCATCGCGTCGTCCAGGTTCAACTTCTCTTCCCAACATTTTTTTTTGTCTTCTGTGAGGAATTTCGTCGAATGCTTTGTTCATTGACGCAACACGATCTCCACTGCCCGGCAGATTCGACGATCTTCGTACCACGACGTGGTTCGAGTGAACGAGATTCAGAAACACATTGACATTTCCTGTGTCCAAACTTACACTATCAACAGCGCGAAGATCTTGTTCTTGAATGAGAGACCTCAGCCGCGTCCCGGGAAAGGCATCACGAACACCTGCGAAATCTGCAGCCGTAGCCTCCTCGATGCGTTCCGGTTCTGTTCTCTCGGTTGCAAGGTACGTGAAAACCGGATGCGAATTCTGGTCTCTTCTGCGCGAGTTCATCGGTTTCGTGCTGTGTTTCTTCAACTTCAAGTTACAAATCTTCATGGGTATTTCGATTTTGACTTTTAGATGTGAATTTGTGACGTACATGATTTCTTTCAATTGGGCTGGAATCTTTATCCCGTTCGAAGTCATAGATGTCGGAGGTTTTCTTGTTTCAGATTGTAATGTACATCAGTTTCAAGCTCTGAGCGATTCTGAATTTGACGGATTTGACCTTTTGCTCGTAGCTAGGAGGAATCAGACATGGAGACCCAAACCTCACATTTGCTCTGAGAGGAGAGGGCGGCAGAGATACGTTCTGTCTTTGTCCGGATTCCGGGGAGTCCGAGGCTCCGGCGAAGATTCGGAAGACGGGCATTTTCAGCCGTTTGGTCGATGGAATCTCAATCGGGGTCGATCATGATCAACGGTCCACAAGCTCCGGCGATGAGACGTTCACAAATGTTCTGTCGCCGGGGACTCCTCCGATTTACAACCTCCGGAATTCTCCTCGCCGGCAGCGGAGAAAGGGTATGCCTCACCGAGCGCCCTTCTAAGTGGAAAAAAATAAATTGTCATCCATCATGGGAATTCTAGCAATAGAAGGATGATGGTAAATGGAATGTTACATGTGTAAATATGTTAGAAAAAATATAACTGCAAGTGTGATTTTCGATAGTTTTGGGGAATAATAAAAACCAGTTTATCATCATTTGTCCCTTTTTCAAGTGTGTGTGTATGTATATATATATATATATATATATATATATATATAAAATTTTGCTCTTTAGATGTAAAAGCTCTCTGATTGGTTTATATTATTATGTAGTACATATTTATTGTGGAAAAATCCTCTATGATTAGGGAAAAAAATTATTCCAAAAATTGGAGATTGTGTTTTGTTTATTCTTTAGCATTTAAACAGAAAAAGTGAGTTGGCATGCATGTGGTTAACACGTCAAACATAGTTAGGATGATAATGTGGTTTCAGTTTGGTTATATTTCGAATTTTTCAAAGTATATTTTTATTTTAAACTATATTTTTAAATTTTAAATGAGATTTCCAATTAACTAATTTGGTTTATAAAATTTTAGTATTTAAATGTAATAGTTTTGATTTAGATATAAGAAGAAAAAAATTCACGAAAATATTTGTTAGAATATCCGAAAACTACATTAATTTGTTAAAATTTAATCACATAAATAAATACATTAATTTTCAATTTAACACACGCATACATCAATTGCTATATGTCACTATAATGAATGTAATCATGTACGTCATCATGTCAGCAAATTTCTTTTAAATTGCCACATCAACAATTATTTGTACATATATATATATATATATATATATATTGTTATGGGTGTAAATATACATATATACATACGAATACGTATACATATAACATATATATCCATATACATACATATATATATATATATATATTCATACATAAATATAGATATATGTATATACGCGATTGATTATATGATCTTAGTGGGGTTTTCATGTGTTAATGAAGAAAGGAAAAAAAAAAAAGCATGGTGCTCATGGTGGTTTTGTTGCACTTTGCCATCACTTTGGTTGGTGGGAGGATCTAAAGATGTTAGGGCAAAGATCGCTTTCCTTTTTAGCTTTTGGAGAACATTTGTGAGGTGAATGCCCATTTTTGGTTAGATTTTTCTTTTAAAGGAAAATATATTTATTGGAGTTTTTTTTTTATAACGGAGGATTCCAGAAATTATCGGGAACAGCCTTTGTATATGGATCATATAAATCCAGAAATTACCTCCTTCCCCACCAGTTAGGAATCGAACATTCAACCTCAAGATGGAGTTACCTCCTATCCAAGCTTGACCACTCGCCCACGATCTGTTGGGTTTATTGGAGCATTTTATTTCGCATATCTACGGAATAATGTTCAGTCCTTGTTTTCTGCCTAATCTGATATAAATCTAGATTCTACATTTGTGACGTTTTTCATTATCACTATGTTAAAACGAAAAAAAAAAGAATGATAAATAAATTTAGATATACAGAAATATAATTCTTTAACATTTGTAAATTGAATTTGAAATGTTAGGTTTTGTTCATATTTTGATTCGGTTATATTTTCAGTTCATTTTATAAGAGTTTGATTTATTCCAGTTTTATTTCAATTTTTGGCTTACGTCTGGTTAATTTTTAATTTAAAAAACCATCTCCCATTAATTTTTGTATAAAATTCAAGTAAGATACAGTAATATGATATATTGTTGTTATTATTCTGCGTACGGCTCTTGTAAAGTTGATCACATCTAAAAAACAATAGAAACAGCCTTTTGCACACATATCGTGTGTATCTAACACGTGACATACATTCACACACCCACACATACATACATGTAACTGTAACGATACATACAACCAGTCGACCCCTAATCACGGAACACCAAAGTTTTCAAAACTAGACGATATATATATATATATATAGAGAGAGAGAGAGAGAGAGTTTTAAAACACCTAAAAATTGAATAACGTAAACTTGGACATAGCAAAGGCATCACAAGCGTTTGCGATGGGACCCAATCGGAGTAGGCCGAACTGTGGAGCTGATTGTGAATTACCGTCTCAATGGACATCTGTTGTCAAAGTGGGTAACCCAACCCATTTAAAAAGTGTTAATGATCTTTGGGTGCATCAGGTCCCCGGAGTTCATTAGCTCAAGAACGAGGCGAGGATGAATCTCTTGCCTGAGATTTTCTATAACGCATAGGACGCTTCTCTAGACATGGATGGGCTCTTGGACACGAGAGGACAGCTGCGCAGAGAATTGTGAAGGAATGGCCCGAGAGTTGCATTCGCTGGCCGAACCAAGACCCAAGCTTTCAGCATGTCATCCATGGAGAACTTGCTAGACCGTACAGAATGTGGCCTATACATATTCTTCTCCAAACTTCTTATCTATGTACTTACCATCTGTGTCAGATTTTTCCATGATTTTGCTGAATAATAGAGTCTGCTTTGTTCATACTTTTAAGTCAACTAAATTGTAAAAAGATTATGTACTCTCCAGTTATCATGGACAGAGAAAACCTTCAATGGATCAAAGATGATATAATTTACCGGAAAAAATAGAGCCATTTTCCGGAAAATCAACTCATCAATCGAGCTTGCACTTGTGAACGCATGCTCTGATAGCTAGTATAGCTCCAAAGATCCCTCCGACAAACATCAGAAGCAGAACTGTTGATTCATACAAAAAAAACACACAAACGTTATTGACACAGATCAGGATCAAAGAATATTCGGAACCCTTTAAAGAAGGCAAACTCCAAAATATGATTGAGATTGTGAATGCTTTATCGGCTGTTCAAGTGCGGTAAAAGCTGCAGTTGTTGTTTGGAAGTGCGGTTTGGATAGGTGAAGAATCATGCCATACCTGCTAAGGACAAGTATATGAGAACTGCCAAACGGTATCTCTTCGTTGCTGGTAAATTGACTTCGAGAGTGCAATGTCTTTGATATGTTTCCTTCTTAGTCAGAGAATTATGAGAATCCAAGCCCTGTGGTTGGAGTTCAGATAGTGAAATGTTTGTGCCTAAGACTGTAAATCCCTTAACATCTTTGATCTCGAGTTTGATAGTAACTGGATTTGCATTCCAATCTATTGATATTGCTCCAAAGTTTTGTTGTCCTGCAGGAAATTTTAACAAATACAAAGGTTAGCACTCTTTTAACCTTACATTTATCCATCAGCACCGACCATATAGTCCAGATTCCACAGGCGATTATGACAGATATGTATCGCAAAACAATTACTATGACTTGTACCGTAGGTGATAATAACCTTAACTATGAATGATACGTAATCAGTTGTTGCATTCCCAACAACTTTTCGCAGGCATTCAGCATGTCAAAAATCAGACATCAGACAAGAATTCTGATATCCATTATTGATTATGGATAATAGTTGTAAATTAAGTCCAGGACGATACCATATATGCATGATTTGAATTTGCAGTTCTGGTTCACAACTCTCATCGTGCTTGGAGTATACCACGAGAGAAACCTGATGAGAAAACGCAAGGGAGGTGGGACAACTCTCTCCACCGATTGTACTAGACCACTTGAGGTGACATCATGTAACGGGTACCCAACACCGCAGTCATATCTCGTGATTTCTCCAAAGTGAACATCTCCACTGATGAATATGACTCCACTTCTCTGCAACATTATTGCAGGGTAGACTATTAGTGTGAGAAAGCAGCGAGCAGAGGAAGGTCACTCAGTTTAGTTTGAATCTTATCGTGAACAAAGATCAAGTATTGTATACCTTAGTATCTGCTATCAAGTGGAAAAGGCGTTGTCTTTCCTTGGGAAAACGTCCCCACGATTCCATATAAAATAATGGACCAGTGGTGGCAGACAGATTTGATATCACCTGACCAAAGTCAAGAAAGCAGTTCGAGGGATGAGATAAACCATTTGCCCGCCTGAAATTTGCATTTATGAGGAAACTGCAACGACACACTGGAGTCTTACGACACAATTGCCCAAGAAAGCGACTTTCTATTGGTTCAAACCACAACAAAATGAGCTGAGTAAATAAAAAGACAACTTGGGTAATACCTGAACAGAAGATCCTATAATGGTAATCGCACTATCTGAACCTCTCAATTCTTTCTCTAGCCATACCCACTGCGCATCCCCTAAGATAGTTCCATCACTTCGCAACGGGTCTCTGTGATACCTAGTATCTAATAATATAACCTGTAGATACAGAATTCTGATGGATGACATCACAATCAAGGAACCGGGTGCAAGTTTTTTCTTGAACTATATTGAAAAAACCGAAAATGCAGGAAGCGTACTGGAAGAGAGGTGTGATACCTTAATTTTCTTGTCCTCAGGACCAAAAGAATATGATGCATAAACCCCAGCTTGCTTTCTCCTGTGACACCATCGGGAGCGAAATTGAGCTCACGCCAAAGCTGAGCAAAACCGAGAAGTCGCTCTTATATATAAATTTACAGCTCACCGTGGGCTATCATGAGGCTCGTCCAAGAAATCGAGCATGAGTCTTTGGTTAGTGGTTTTACGATCGAATTCCTTCCCTGCATCATTCAATCCATAATCATGGTCATCCCAAGTACCAATAACCTTTGTGTTTTTCCGGAGGCGAGAATACCCTGGAGTTGCCTTAGCTTTGGCGTAACGAGACTTCATCTCTTCCTCTGAAGAAGGCACGAACCTCGGGACGTTCTTCCATGGCCCAATAGTTCTCTCTTTCCCAAAAACCTTAAAGGGCCGTCTGATATCACCATAGATGTTGTCACCCAACCAAATAAACAGTTGTGGATCAAACTTGTTTATCGCATCCCAGATTGGCTATTTTTCACCAAAACCACAAAATTTTCAAGTTCAATGCACATTGACACCAAGCCAGTATGATCACTACTGGTATGAATGAAATTGCACATTCTAGAACCATCCCTTGTATGCAAGCTAAGCAGATTAACGATCATACCCGAAGATTTTTCAAATTTATACAGAAACAAAATTTCACAAATTCAATCACACGCACTCACTCACACTTGTATAGGTGAATATTTGAATTTCAAGGCAAAATTTTCCGACCAAGCCAGAAGACCACTCCCGATGTGAAAGAAATTGCACGTTTGAGAACGAATCTCAATATGTAACCTAAGCGGATTAACGTTCACATTAGAAGAAATTCAAAAATATTCCGGAAGAACAAGAAGCAAAACCTGTGGAGCGCTTTGGTTGGCGCATGATCCGAAGACGATGCGACTGACCGGATGCTCCTCCGCCGCCGCCGCGGCGAAGAGCAGCGAAATCCACCAGAAGGAGAGACATAACAACTCCATTATGGCTTCAGGGCAACTAGAAGCAAGAAGGGAAATGGAAAAAGAAGAAGAGGAAACCCTAATCAACCATGGAAAGAAGAATATTCCGAATAGGTTACGAGATTCAGTGAATAAAAAGTCATGAGCTGCTGCAGAATTGATTATCCCTTTCTAGATGGATCGAGATCGATCTGGAGCTTCGGCAACGAAGACTCGGAGAATATGTTTTCGTGAACGTTCTTTCCTTAACAATTATTATTAATTTATTATTATTAGGGAAAAATCTTTTAAAATACACGATAATTTATTATTATTATTATTGGAAAGCAAATCGTTTTTTTAGGGGATTTCCCATTGGGAGTTTGATAGAGATAAGATAACCTGTTACATGTCTTTTGCATGGATATCTTGGTTTATTTCATAGTTCACATTTTTTGGATTTTTTATTTTAAAAAGGGGAAATTACATTAATCTTAATTTTTCTATTAATTTTTCTTCAATCTGATTTTTATTTAGATTCGATGCTTAAAATATCAATTGTTTTAAAAAAACACCTTTGAGTCTTTTTATTATTTTATATTATATAAGAATTCAATTTTTTCATTTGTAAAAAAAATATATTAATCGATTTTATATGATATAACCGAGCCGAAATAGTCATGTAAGTTTCATGTAAAACAAATGTTATATGGGTGCGCATGGAGCATAAAACAAATTTACACGAACGATAATAATATTTTGGATAATTAATTAATCAAAATAAATATATTTACGAAACTAAACATATATATTACCCAAAAAAGGGAACAACAAATACAAAACTGAAAAAAAAAACATTTTTCGCTGAATTTACATCCAAGAGAATCAATTCATCGAATTAAACGGAACAAAAGAATAGAATGCAATCACTTAGCCGCCAAACCTAACGCACCATCATGAGAACAAACTCGTCGAAGCTGAGAACTCCATCGCCATTCTTGTCAAACACCCGAATCATAGCCTTGCACTCGTCGACAGTCCTCGACTCGCCGAGTCGACTCAGCGTCCGCCGCAAACTCGCCGCCGTGATGAACTCGTCACCCTCCGTCACGTACACACCAAACGCATCCAACAGCTCCTTTCGCCGCTCATCCTCGCCGTAAAATTCGTCTCCTTCTCCTTTCATCAGCTTCAAGAACTCGGCGAAGTCCACGAACCCATCTCCGTCCAGATCCATCACCTTCACCGCCTCCTCGGCGTCGCTTGCCGTCAACGCGCCGCCGAATAGGCCCACGCAGCTCTGCAGCTCTGCCGCCGAGATTCTCCCGTCGGAGTTCGTGTCCATGTAATCGAACACCATTCTTAGCTCCTCCACACTGATTTCGATGCTTCCACTGCTGCTGCTGCTGCTACTGCAATTGCTGTTCCTCGCTCCGTCATCTTGGGTCGGAGATTTTCCGGGCTCTGATCTTTTCCGGGAAAATCTCTTGTACAGTTTGTCCAACGGAGATTCCTGGGTTTTCTGGGCCTTCGCAGATAGAGTCATTGATTCTGGATTCGGGGTCTTTGCCGGAAACGCAAATAATTCCGAGGTCTGGGTTAATCGCAGAGAGGAACGAATTTGCCGGTTGATTTGAACTTTTATGTGCACAATCCACTCTGGAGGCAGGACTATATATAAATATATATGTATACAAACATATATATACGTGTGTATATATGTCAATCCGTTGTTTCATCGGTTTTA